CATTAGCACCTCTAGTAATATATTTACTGAGAAAAATGATGACGTGTTCAATACTTATTTTACCCGCTGTATGCGCATTAGCAAGCTAACGTTACTGCTGGAGTAACTGGCGACGGGTGGCGATTCCACTGCTTATATTGACTGACATGAAAAAAAAACATTCAGTTTTCGCCATCGCTGAATGCAATAAACGTTGCACGGTTAGATTTAACGCGCAATGTTAATATGGAGATGTTATTGATGGAGACTTCTCATGCTTTTATTGTGAAAAGCCTGGGGAAGACTGGTGTGCAAGGTGAGTCGTCCTGTTAAGCTTTATTAAATAACATAAAACAATAGACCCGATAATGATTACTCAACCTGTACTATGAGAAAGTGCAGACATTTCCTTGCTTTTTGGCTGACAACTAAATTTAGATGAAGTTAGTTCAAAATGACTCAATTGACAGGCTCTGACCAGGGGTCGGATTTATAAAACTGGCGTACGCACAATTTGAGCCCAGAAACTTGCGTACGCCACTTTTCACGCCATGGTTGTGATTTATGNCCACAGACCCCTCCCCGACAATAACAGCAGGACAGCAAAAGTCACGCTTTGGACACGCGCAGGGCGCATCCACCTCACCAGTATGGATGTTATAAAACTTCATGTTTAAAGTCTGTGTTTGTCACGCGTGCGCGGGGGGATGCGTGCGTGTATGTGTGCGCAGGGCGGGGGTGTCTGCCGCGGATAACAGAGCAGGCAGGATGGGGAGAGGACGAGGAGAAGAGCGGTGTACTTACTTCTAATTTTATCTGACTTATTTAATTTAATTTTTAGTTTTTATCATCCTGCAGGCTCTGAGGGAAAATTAATTTGAAGCTGAGTATTTTTTATAAAAAATCGTTAGATTACTCTAAAGCAAAATGAAGGAAAATCTGTGTCAATTACAGACAATCTGTTCACGTGAGCAGCTGTCAGTCAGCACCCGTCATCCTCCAGACACACGACGGAGCGTGTCTGAACCAATCACTTTTGTTGATATTGATCAGCTGACTGATTTAAATATATCTTAACATTCATGAGGTACTTTACATTGACTGTTTATGGTTGAGTGTGGGTGTGTAGAGGGTAGAACCTGAGGCGGGACCACGTACGCAAACTCTGACGTGCGGCTGTGATTTATAAACGAACGATGCGCAGAAACATGCGTACGCATGGTTTTATAAATCTGAATTTTTTTTGGCGTATGCCATTTCTGCCYTTTGGCCATACGTTYACTTTTAGTATGGTTTCCATGCAATCCTTTATAAATGAGACCCCAGAAGAGGAAAAAGGTGGCCTCGACGCAGCCTTTAAATTTTTGAAAATGGTGACAGAGAATATTAAGTGTTTTGTGACTTTATCTTTTATTTACTTGGTGGTACATTTTAGGCAGTTGAGCTATGATGACCTGCTTACACTGAGGCATCAATAAGTTATAAAACCACCGTGTATGACTGAATCAGGTCAAATCAGGGCMAAGCAAATCATGCTAAGACTGGACAATGATAAAAATGGCATATGAATGCGTCTTGGCAAACAGCTGTAAATGAACTTAAACTGCAAACACCAAAGCAATGTTGGCCAGTAAAGTAATTAAAGTGAAGAAGTGATTAAAACTCAGATCGCTTCTTAAACCTCTCTCTTCTCCTTGGCTTTTGGCAGATGTTGATTTTTGGTTCAGTTTTTCTTTATTTTCATTGGTTTTATGTGGCTTTGTTTTAATTTTATGTTTAGGATTTTATAAAGCACTACACTTTCCCTTTCATCCTTYGCTGCTCATTTTCCACAGATATTCAAGAAACAACTAAATACACTGAATTCAAATAGGCTTTTAATTAAGTTTGTTTTATGTTTCTTTGGCTGTTTTTGATTGTTGCGCTCTGTTTTCTTTAGTCATTCAGCTCTCTTTGAAGCACTTTGTAATGTTTACACTTTATCAAAAAACAGTACAGCTAAACATGCAAACAGTGTATTAGTGCAGTACAATACTATAATGTCAGTAACTGTGGCTCAACCAAAGTACATTTTCACTTTTTAAAATATCCAAGTACTTGTTTTTTTTTTAACATTTAACAAGACAGTTAAACAAAAGTCATTTATTTTCCCTATTTAATGCAGCTTGACAGTCTGATTGTGAAAATGTATTTTGTAGCAAACAGCAGACATATGCATAAAAAAACAGGACAGCAAAAATAAAATGAGACTAATTTTTTAGGTTGTGTTAACTTGGAGCACTGATATTTGCTGTAGCTAGCTAATAAACAAGAAAAATATATTAGCTGTCCATAACTAATTTCTTGAATTACTATTGTGGCCAGGACTAAATATTTTTAGCAATATTTCTTAGTACTGCACCAAAAATCTAAAAAAAAAAAWAAAATAAATTAAATCAACCCCCACAAAAAAGGATACATTTCAATGATTCTGCTGTTAAATCTTTTTTTAAAGGTCAGCTTATTAAATAATTTGTAAGAGTCTAATCATAACTGTGTGCATATTTTGTTCACTTAGTTGTTTATGAACGAAAGTAAAGATACATAAGGAAGACTTCACTATTAAAAGCAAAAGCAATTTATAAGTACATAAGTCATTATGGTCAAGTATTTTTTATAGTTGTTTAGTAAGGATGAGCCTTGGGGAGGGGAGATTTGGAGGGGGAGTTCAACATAAAGAATCCAAGTTCATGTATGGCTTTTCTTCTTAGTGATAAATTTATCAAATACTAGAATTATATTATAAATAGTACTTTTAAATATATGAATAGCTTTATAACTTGATCAAATGATCCAGAAACAGGATTGTCTGAAATTACAGTATTAACAGAAATAAAGAGCTGCAAATATTATCAATCAAATTCAAGTTAAATAAACCATTTCACCTGCTTTCAAACTTGACTGGCACTGACAGGATAATCTGTCAGGCTCAAATTCCACACGTTTGACAACTTTGTGAACTTTCTGTAGGACTGGCAGAGTAACTGTAAACAGGAAAACAAACAAACAAGAAAAAACTGCCTGTTAATGCTGTCTACATAACAGGACATTCCTAAAACAAACAACACCATCTGATATG